CGGTGCATGCCCGATGATATGAACGGCTGACTAGACGATTTTCTCGAATACGTGAGTTCATGGTAAACGGGCGTATTACCAAGTATCAACGTATACACCATGATCTATAACAAATAATATATATCTGTATATATGGTCTAGTGCAACGTCCATTACGCGATGCAACAGTCGTTCCCGAAGGAGTGAATAAAAATCGATGTATCTCGTGTAACGAGACTCCAAGTGCATATAACTATTAGGTCACGCAGTAAATCGTGCAGTGGTTATTATGGTTAATGACAAGACCAGCGTCCAAGAGGACAGGCGACATGGCCACTTGGAGGTCACACGCTGGCCAATGGCGGTTAATCATGGCGCATGCATCCTGCAGTTGCTCTGGAAACCCGGACGCAACGTGGTGAGAAGCGAAGCGAACGTTCAGGCCGATAATTACGTAAATACTCGAAGCTGCGAGAGAAATTTCTCCAAGGCGATTTTGCACGCGTTTGCGACACCTTGCACTGGCTTCGTGCACGGGATCTATGGATAACAAACGGATATACGTAATTACAGCTGGATAACAATAAAGCAAAGGCAATTGAAGCAATGCATCGTTCTGACTCGTGCTGTATAATTTTCGCAGTTCTTAATCCTGTGTTCGCGTAGAATTATTGTCATGCGAAATTTGTAATACGAATTTGGCGATTTTTTTCCGGTTGTTAAATAAGAATATGAAAGATTTTTTTCGGTGGGAAAAATGGACTATGAGAATTTTGAAAAATTAATTTTTTTTTCTTCCGCTTAAAATTTTGCTAATTTTTGTTGTTGCAATTTTCATACTTATTTTTAATTCGAAGGGATCGACGATGGATGAGGGTGGGATCGACGCTTTTCTTTTAAGAGTCAAGAGATTGGAATCACAATGGCGTTTAATTAAAACGAACGACGGCGTTCTTGGCAGTTATCTTCGCCCTTATCGTCCTTGAGCGTGAAAGACACGAAAGTCAACGAATTTCGCGACTTCGCTTTATTTGCGAAATTCGCGGAAAAAAGCTTTGACGCCTCAACCGCACGGCCGAGACACGAGTCTACGAGCTTCCTGTGAACGAGGGACCGACTCGTATAGGAATTTTCATGAAGCCGTTTTCCATATTGAATATTCGCCTTTATCGACGCGACCACTGCTCGGCGTCTAGTCGATTAATTTGCATATCCGTCGACGCGTAAATTAGGCCAGAAAGTGAAGAGGGTCGTGGATAAATATTTATGTGGATAAATATTGTGGATGAGACGAAAGGTCCAAACAAAAATTCCTGCGAACCCCTTCTTATTTTTTCTTTCATTGAATATCAAAAGCAAAATATTCTCACAGCCCTTTTTCTTTATCTCTCAAACTTTTTTGTTTTACTAATTTTCATTTCTTTCTCATCCGGAACGCCAAGAAGTTTTCGCTCTTGACGGGTTTGCTTCGTGGATAACGAGGAATACGGCAAGCGGACTCGCATTATTGTGGAAATTAAGGGAAATGCTAATTCTCGCCATTTTCATGGCGGATTATGGTCGAGAATATTCAACGCGACGTCGGGATCGTTTCGTGTTACCTTGAAAAAAAAATCTTTTTGGTAATGAGACGATTGTACTGGAAATTGAATATCGTCCCACCGTGTATTAGACTCCACAGGAGGGGTATAAAGAAAACAAAAAAAAATTAGATTAAAGAAAAATTCATAAAATTTCTACATAAAGCCTTCGTGCTGTACACCTGACGACGTAAATACGACCCCCACTGCCCAGCACAGTCTTTCCCTGATAATTACAAAAACGAAGACACTTTCTTGTGAAAATTGTATATTTATCAAATTCCTACCAAAGAAATTTTCCCAATGATTCAGTTATGTCGTCATCAATGTATCCTATGTATATCGACTCACCGTACCTACTATATACATATACATACACAAGACGCTACCTTCTAATCGAATCCGAATCTCAAGCTTAAAGGACGCCTGCTTTAAATTCTCTTTGCACTATCTATAACCAGTTCAGTCATAGTTCCTAAACAGCAGCCATGTACCTGCAGCTAGATTAGTCTAATACACAGTAACCTCAGTCAGATAGGAAGCTAATCTAATCTAACCTGACTTCGAATTCGGCAAGAGAATCTACCTAGGCGAATAGACACTCCGTATGCTTGATAAACATACAGCATCTGTACGTGAGCCACATATGCGCACGTGCGATCGATTTAATTAGTAACACGTGCATAAATTATTAATTAAGACAGATTCGCCAATTGGACTTAAAACGGGGTAAGAAAAAATTGTCCAAGTAGTTTTATATGAAATGAAAAAAAAAATTTTGAAAAATTACAGTCAATCCGAAAAATCTGTCCGGCGATGGGGAAACACTTCGATATTTCTCTCATCGACGATATTGGAAATCAATCAATAAATAACGCGTCGATTCATCATTGAGGATTTCATCTGGCTGCAGACAGGAGGAAGGAGTCAGGAAGGAGGCTGAAGTTGGTTGCTATGGGAATCCGATATTTCTCGAATGACGCACACAGCATCCCCTGGCGTGACGTCTCATAATTTCATCTCGATTATAAATCTCCCTCCCTCTCCCCCCTCTTACCCCCTTGCCCCGACTGGTCACCCTTACTTCGGGAGAAATTAGTATTCCGCTTGCACCCCGCCCGAAGGGGGTTGACTTTTAACTTCTTCTACAGGATACATTATGGAAGCGCTGAGGGAGGAAACGTCTCATGCAAATTGACATGACCCGTCACACCCAGTTAATGAAGTATCAATACTTAACGCAATAACTCGCGAATAATTAGTATCAAGTTATAGAGGCGGGAGACAATCCCAAAAAAAAAAAAATTAAAAAGTCAATCGGTAAATTCAAAGTTGTCAACAAAAAATTAATTATACGTATAAAAAGTGCGCGCATTAATTCATTCGCGCGAGCAGATACCCACTACAAATTAATCAAACGATAAGGCGAGGTTATTAAAAAAAATTTCTTATGCAACTTTAGAAAAAAAAAAAAGACCAAAAGTCGTGCCACCACTTGACCTGACGATTTAATTGCACCTAAATGACGACGAGCCAAGAGAAACGTCTAAAGCTTGCTAAACTATACTGGAGCTAGGTGATTTGTACATGTGTGATCTGATGATGGTTCTCATCGTAAAGATTTTCACTTATTAGAATACGAATTTGGCACGTTGATTTTAGAGGGTGCAGTGACGCGTTAAAAAAAGAGGGGGATATTTATACGGTACCAGATAGTAAACTCTGATTGCCTTTGACTGTACAGATATACACGAGTAAACTGAACATAGGCAATTATTGGAAAACGCAGGGAAGGTAGTGTAAAGAAGCATAGGAGCACTCTGGGCTGATCGATACGTTTGTAAGTGCAGGAGTGAAAGGAGCAAAGCAAAGAAAGACGCTGGGAAAAGATGAATCCTTTATCAAGTATAGCCTCAATTATTAAGATTAAATTATAAATTTATAATTAAAATTATGAATTTACAGGTTGAGCGTTTATTAATGCTTTTGACGAGGACCAGTGTTGCGTCACCTTTCAATGGAGATGGGTTCAATGAGAAAAAAAAGGCTGAAAGAGCTATCAAGTAGATACGGTGCGTGTAGAGTCAGACCAGCCTAATGTTTTAGTCGTGACTTTATCTATCGAAACCCGTATACACGGTGCAGTGTGGAGTATAATTTAGACGGAGCTTTCATCGGGAAAAGAAGTGGGCAAATGATGCGACTTGAGAGAAAAAGCGTCGTTGGGTTGGGTCGTGGAGGAGTGAAAAAGGGGGTAGAGAGAGAGGGGGGAGGGGAG